AACTGCATAACTATACATGCTCGGCGCTCTGCGCGGGACGGATACTGGATGAGGGGGAGGATAAGAACAAGACAGGGGAGGAAGTGGAGGAGGAGGAGGAGGAGGAGGAGGAGATCGGAGAAGACATCGCACTGCATAGGCATAAACTTTCGGCGCTCCTCGCGAGACTCTTGGACCGGCATTCGGCCGCCCCGGCCGGAGAGAGGAAGGGACTGTAGGAGGACGAGGGGCCATTGCGTCGGCTGCGCCGTCTGATGGACACCGCATGGAAGCTGGAAGAAGTTCACAGGGCTGGCCCTTCCAGTTTCTGGGGGCAGCCTCCTCACGCATCCTTGCGCACGCAGTCCCATACGTCTTGACCTCATGTTGTGCAGCCCAGCTTCGGCAACTCTCCCCGATCATCGCACTTGCCCTGTTCAATGCCAGAGTTTCATTGCTTTAGTTTCCCTCTGCCATCCCCGCTCGAATCGGACGCGGCTGTGCGGCTTTCGCATCGAACGGCCATCTGAGCGTATTTGTTCAGATCGTATCGCACAGCTTGGCTTAGCAGCGCAGACAGGGCCGATAATACTGCACATGCTCACATGCACGTTTGACAGCACGACGGCCTCTTACCGCATGCGAGCCGCACCTACTCACCATTGCCCACGGTGTTATTTCTCTGAAAAAGCGTGGCCCACTTATTGCGCACAGGTGCGACAGAATACCACCATTCATGGAAAGCGTTTTGTTGATTCAGGTGCCAGCAAATCCATTGGAGTACCGTCTCAGGTGGCTACCCATTCTCATCCATCTCCTCCGTCACCCCTCATCCCGCTCCCTTCCTCTCTCCTCCATCACCCCTCCTCCCTGCTCATCCCTCAGCCTCCTCATCCTTCTCCTCCTTCTCCTCCTCCTCTTCCCCCAAACTCTCCACCTTGGTATAGTAGTAGCCGTATAGGAGGAGGAAAAGGAGGAGGAGGAAAAGGAGGAGGAGGAGGAGCAGGAGGAGGAGGAGGAGGAGGAGGAGGAGGAGGAGGAAGAGGGGGCGGAAGTGGACAGGGAACAGGAGGATAAGAAGGATCTGAAGGAGGGGAATGCGGGGAATCAGGAGGGGAACGTGTAGGAGGGGAAGGAGGGGGGCGGGGCGGATGAAGGGGAGGTGGGGGACGGCGAGCAGGAATGGGCAAAGGAGTGCAGACCGCCAGTAGCCGATGGGAGGGTGTTCGACTTGGACATCATGTTCTCACTCTACGGCCTGACGCCATACAAGCGCCGCGGGGTGTGGGGGGTCTGGGGAGTGGTGGGCGATGAGGGAAGGGTACGTTTGAGTGAAGGCGGGGGCACCACACCAACATCAGGAGTCACATATATATATAGATATATTCATATGTATGTGCATTTGTATGTATATATCAGAACAGATGTCTGTATGTATACATAGATCGGAATATCTATACAAATACATGCGCAATGTTTTACCGGCTCGCTACGCTTCGCCGTCTCAATCTTAGTCGCACGGCGCCAGCGAGGTGCGTTGCGACCGCCATTGTCGTTAATTGGCGCGGTCCCAGAGTTTTTCGAGGTGGTGGGCGCCACGGGTCTGGAATGTTCCCGAAATACTCTAGGGCGCACGAGGTTTGTATTGTTCATGAGTGTCATGTGGTCGCATGTCTCATGGTGTTTGAACAGCATACGGGGCTCGTCGTTTTCAACAGGAACGAGAAGCTCCCTGGGGTTCATGCTTCATGGGGCTTGGGCTGGAGCTTGGCTCGAGCTGGATGAGCTGGAGCTGGAACTGGAGCTGGAGCTAGAACTGATGCGCCCCGTCCTCCTTCTCCTCCGCCTCTGCCTCCTCCTCTCGGAGAGCACGACACGCTGGACGGTTGGATCGGGCACAGCATGTCAATCTTGGGAGAGGAGTTCTGACAACACGGAAAGCACGATTACCTCAGCAAGTCTTTCTCATAGCAGGAAAGGTGGCCCATGGGACTTGGTGTATTCGTGGGACTTGCGGTTGTACTGGACCTGCGGCATCTGCGGGACCTGTGGGACCCATGGGACTTGCTACACCTGTGGGAATTGTGGGGCCTTCGACACCTGTAGTAGGACCTGTAAGATTTGTGGTGCTTGTGGTACTTGTGGTACCTACGATAGCTGCGATACCTTTGGGACATGTGGAACGTGCGGGACCTGTGGGACCCGTGGGACCTGTTGTGCCTGTGGAGCCCGCGAAACGTGCGACACTTGTGGGACCTGTGGGGCCTGTGCGACTTGTTGGACATGCGAGACCTGTTGGACCCATGGGGCCTGTGGGACCAGTGAACCTGTGGGACGTGTAGGGCCTGCGAGATCAGCGAGACCAGTTAGACCCGTCGGACCTGTGGCCCCTGTTGGATTTTTTACACATGTAGGGCCTATGGGACCTGGTGGACCTTCGACATCTGTGGTACTTGTTGGACCTGTGGGACCTTGGGGACATGTGGGACCTTTGGGACTTTTCGGGCTTGCTAGACCCTTGGCACCTGGGGGACCTGCGAGACCTGTGAGACTTGGGGGGCTTGCGAGACCTGTGGGACCTGTTGGACCTGTGGAATGTGCGGGACCTGTGGGGCCTCTGAGACCTGCGAGACCTGTGGGACCTGTGGAACGTGAGGGACTTGCAGAGGCCTGTATGGGAGACTTCTTGGTGTCTCTTGGGGGCCCCCTAGATCAGATCATCGAAGCATTTCTGGGGCTTCCCTGGTGGGTCGTCTGAAGACGCCCTGGGGGCTTTGTCTTGGGGGGGCCTCTGGGGGCGCCTTGGGGGCCCTTTGGCTGTCTCCGGGGCCATGTTGGGGGGCAAAACTCGACATGGCAGTTCGGGTTGTCCTTCTTGGGGCCCTCGTGGGCCGTATTGCGGGGCGTCTTGGGTTGTCTTGGGGCTCTCTTGGGCCGTTTTGAGGGCCATTTGGGGCCGTCTTGGGGTCCTTTTCAGAGCACCTTAGGCCGTCTTGGGGCGATTTTGGGGGCCTCTTGGGCCGTCTTGCGTGGTCGGAGGCTCGAAAAAGCGGGAACGTTAATATCGATCGATAATTCTTGGACGATCCATCGATTTTGGCATTTGTGGCCCTCTTTGGGGGGCCATTTTCGGGCTCTCGTGGTATGCCTTGGGGGCATTGTGGGCCGTCCTGAGACCAGCTTGGGCGTTCTGAAGCGATGTTGGGCCGTTTCGGTGCTCCGCGGGACCGTCCGGGAAGCGATCCTGGGCCTGCTTTGGCGTCTTGGTTGGCCTGGAGGGGCCCCCGCAACCCAAATTTGGAAATTCTTCCCGATTGGAGCGCCCAGGGCCGAATTTATGTACGGGGGGGCCCTATGATACTATTCGAGAAGGAACAATTATGTAGGTATGCTCAACCTAGCTATACATATGCATGCATCCACACATGCACACACACATACATGCATACCTACATACCCACATACGCATGCTCATCCATAAACATCCACCCATTCATATTTGCAGACATGCATGCATACGCATACATATATACATGTACATTATATATATAATATGTATATACACGCGCATGCATACATACACGCACCCATGTATACATACCTACATACCTACCTACCTACCTACCTACATACACACATACACAATATCTACACACCTACCTCCCACCTATCTACCTAACTACCTATTAACCTACCTACCTACCTACCTACCGACCTACCTACCTACCTACCTACCTACCTACCTACCTACCTACCGACATACACACATGCATACATACACACATACATTGACACAAACACACGTACACGCATTTACACATATACATGCACACATCCACACGTACATCCGTCCTCACATACATACATACATACATACATACATACATACATACATACATACATACATACACACATACATCCATACATATATACATACATATATACATACATATATACATCCATCCATCCATCCATCCATCCATCCATCCATCCATCCATACATACATACATACATACATACATACATGCATACATGGACATCTGCACACACACAACTCATATATATATATATATATATACCATCATACTTGCATACTTGCATACATTCATACACGCACACACCCACACATATGTATATATATATATATATATATATATATATATGTATGTATCCCCGTGCACGACGCCCGGGCGCCCGGGGCGGCTGCCTCGAGGGGGCATGGGGGTACCTGCGGCGTGAGGTCGCTATGGCATCTCGCGTGAAACTCGTTTCTTTTCGTCGCTGAGCTCGTTCCCCAGATGCTCCCATGGATCGGACGCGAACCCTCCCGCCCGGAGTCGTGGAGCGGTGTTGCGCGGTGTAGGCGGGGGGACAGGTACCCACGCCGCCGCTCCCCTGACCTCTCCGGGGGTAACCTCCGACCAGCACTTCGAGTCGAAGCCCGCCGTGGCAACGAGGGAAGGCTGGCAGCGTCGGTAGCTGTTCCTCTCTCTCTGCGCAGGTTTCCAGGCCTCTAGGCCTCCCAGATGGGGTCGGAGTAGACGGGTTCGGAGGGTCGCACAGCATCGCCGATGCATTGCCGATGCGGCTCGATGTTCAGCCCGATCTGCTTCACGCCGATGGCGCCGATCCCTCGCCGGCGTCGACGATGCGTCGCCGGTGCATCGCCGGTGCATCGCCGGTGCATCGCCGATGCGTCGCCGATGCGTCGCCGATGCGGCGCGATCCTCCGACCCCATCTGCTCCGACCCCATCCGGGAGGCCTCTGAGGCCGTCCCCAGGGGGAGTTCTTTGGGAAAAAGAACCAAAACCAACACCGAGAGGATCTAGCACGCCAGGCACCCCTGCGATGAATCGACAGGGGGCGGCGGATCTAAGACGCCTACGGCGAATCACCGCCGCCCCCTGCCTTTTTGGAAGCGCCTATGGGAGGCCCCCCCGCCGCGCCCGCAGGCGCGGCCAGCTCGAGCCGCCGAGCCGGGGCGTGCCGGACACGTCCCCGCCGCCGCTCGCCAGCTAGCGGCCGGAGCGGAGCCCCGCCGGCGCGGCTATAGCCCCGACGCTCGAGCAGAGGCGAGGCGTCCTGGCCTGCCCAGAGGCCCACCAATAGGGGGCAAACAAACCTACCTCGCTTTTGAACACCCTCGCTTCCAAGAGATACCAAACGATGCCAAACTACGGCCTGTACTGGTCAGGCCGCTTGACGAGGAGGCGCGTGGTATGACTTGGTTTTGCCTGGAAGCGAAAGCGGGGTAGGTAATTCACGCTCTGAACCAAAGAATCTGCTGAGAACCTTTTCTGGCTTTTGCGCGGAGTGCTCTCAGAGCATTGCTGGCCGAGGCTGTCGTGTTTGCACACTTCGGGTTTGTGTTCTAAGAGCATTGTGTCTGTTCTTAGAGCATGTTGGGGTTCGAAGACAATTTCGTGGTAGGCCTATAGGGATGCCGGGACGGTCGGTCTCTGCACAAGACGCGGCGGCCGCGCTGGGCAGAGCGTGCCTGGAGGTCTCCCAGATGTCACGTTGCATCTTCGGGGGGCCTCGACTGTCCCCAAAGGTGGTGTGAAATTTATTGTGCCCGACGCGCGGGCTCGATGCGGCCTCGACGCGGATTTGGCGGGCAGTCGACGCGGATTTGACACGGCTTCGACACGGATCCGACGAGGCCGACATGGATTCGACACGGATTCGACGCGGGTAGGGCCGCGACGGGACAGAGAAGGCCCTCTGAGGATGCAGCACAACAGATGGGGTTCGAGTAGATGGGGCTGCAGGATGGCGCCGCACCGCCGATGCATCGCCGATGCATCGCCGACGCCTCGGCGACGCTTGCGATGCATCGGCGGCGTGGAGAAGGCCGGCCTCCACGTCGAGCAGCGTCGCCGAGGCATCGGCGGTGCGGCGCGACCCTCTGACCGCATCCTGCTCGGGCCCCCGCCCGGGATGCTCACCACCCACCAAACCACCCCAACCCAACCCGAAGGCTCAGATTTACCCTCGATTTCTACTGGGGGGGGGGGTCGGGGAACATCGAAAAAACACGCGTGGAACCCTTACCCCCCCCCAACCCGAAATTCGGGTCTTCGGGCTGGGTTGGGGTGGGTAGGTAGTCACTGGTGCGGCGCGGGCGAGGGGGCGGTGTGCGGTGAGCTGCGCCTCCGGTGCCCCCGCCGCCTCCCTGCGCAGGCGGCGCCTCGCCCCACGGCCCCGGGCTCCTCCACGGAGCAGCGGGGCGCTCCGAGGGGGGGCCACCCCGGGTGGCCATTCGGACGCACGCCTACTCCAGATTTCGTAATACAGGGAGGGAGGTCTCATTTCGGGGGGGGTGTCTCTTCCAGGCTATCTTGGAGGGCCTGGGGGGGTCTGGGGACGATGTTTTGGAGGGTTCTCCCACGGGGGAGGTCTGGAATGGCTTGTCTTGGAGGGTCCAGACCCCCTCCCATTTGTTACGAAGTCTGGAGCATCGAGGAGGGGCGCCCCCTCGTCTCGTATCTCCCCGAGCGGGGCCCCAGATGTCTGGCCCACCTCGGGAGCTCCACGACGTCGGGGATGGGGTCGACACATCCCCTGTCGCCCCTCCTCGCTCCCCCTCCTCAGGAGTCCCCCCACCTCCTCGCGTGGTGGAACATCACGACGGAGGCTCTCGATCACTTCTGGCCCCCCGGAGCCCTCGCCAGCCTCGGCGCGGACCAAGGGCGGTGCGACCCTCCTGAGATAGGGGCGTTGCAATGTTTTCACCCAGGTTATGTTCGCCGGGTTTCGGGACCTGGGGCCATCGCAGATCGGTCCGGCTCGAGCGATGCATCAGAATCATCGGGTTTATCCTTTCGTGATTTTCTGCGATGTTGCATTTGCTCGTGAAGTCGGATTACTGGGAAGGGCGGTGTGAGGTGACCTTCTCCGCCACGCCTCCGCCTTTTCCCTCCTCGCTCCCCCTCGTCAGAGTAGGCAGCGATATCAGTATCGCTTCCCGTCCTGGAGAGCTCTCGTCGCCAGGGCTGAACTCTTCTGGAAATTCTGGTCGCAGTCCGCCCCAGGAGGGGGCCGTGGCATAGCGGTATCGGTACCCTTCTGCCCCCCCACCCTCCCCCCCTCCCCTCCCTCCCCCCCTCCTCCCCTCCTCCTCCCCCCCCCCCCCCTCCTCCTCCACCCCTCCCCTCCTCCCACCCCTCCCTCCCTCCTCCCCTCCTCCCTCCCTCCTCCTCCCCTCCCTCCCCTTCCCCTCCCCTCCCCCTCCTCCCTCCTCCCCTCTCCCTCCTCCCCTCCTCCCCTCCCCTGCCCCCCCACCCTCCCCCTCCCTCCCCTCCTCGTCTTCCGACGACGTGATGTTTCAATCTCGGCGTTTTATCCTCGATTCTGGCATCCAGGGGCCCGGTCCTCGGGCCGCACGGCCATCAACACACAGACCCTGGGCGGAAGACCACCCCTGGGCAAGGGGTCGGGGAGCTTTGGGGCCGCGGGTCGAAGACATCGTGTCGGAGGTGTCTATTTAATGGTCGGTTGGACCTCGTTGGGATGCACACACACAGCGTCATTCTGGCCTTGACGATGGGTGCCGTCAAAGCCCCCTTGAGGGGATGCGGATTCAATGCTACATCAGAGCTGTGGAAGATGTTGGGCGTAAAAAAAAAATCGTGTCGGAGGTGTCTGGGTCCACCGTGCCCCTGCCTCCTGCCTTCCTCCCGCCCCTCCTCCCTATCCTCGGCCCTCCTCGTCCTCCCCCTCTCGGAGCGGTCGAAGCGGGCACGGCGAGGGCGAGCACTCGGGGGCAACGTTAGGGGGGGGGGGGGGATGGGCTCAGAGGGGGGATGCCTCGACCCCCCAATGGCCTCGCTCAACCGGTGCTAGTCAGGGGCCCGATGGCCCGCTGCGCATCAGGAACATGCGCGGTGCCGCTGTCGGTCCGGGGCCTACCGCCGACCCCTCGGCGAGGCCTCGCCGATTCCAGGTCGACGCTTTCCCCCGCTGGGCTACTCTGTGAGAACGGTTTTTGAAGGCAGATCTGCCTTTCAAAAAACCGTTCTGACAGGTTTTTTGGAGGCAGATCTGCCTTCAAAAAATCGTTCTTGCAGAGTAGACCAGTTTTTTGAAGGCAGATCTGCCTTCAAAAAACCGTTCTTACAGATTTTTTGAGGGCAGATCTGCCTTCAAAAAATCGTTCTTGCAGAGTAGACCAGTTTTTTGAAGGCAGATCTGCCTTCAAAAAAACCGTTCTTACAGATTTTTTGAGGGCATATCTGCCTTCAAAGAATCGTTCTTACAGAGTAGACCAGTTTTTTGAAGGCAGATCTGCCTTCAAAAAACCATTCTTACAGAGTAGACCAGTCTGCCCCCCCCCCCCCACCGTCGCCTCTCAGCTTGGCGCGGAGGAAGGGCGGTGAAAAACGAGCCTCTCAGTGGCGTCCCCGCCTTTTCCCTCCCTCCCTCCCCCCCTCCCTCCTCTTCGTCCTCCTCTCGGCATCACCCAAGCAGCACGGCCCCGTAGGGGCGCCGCACACGTTCAGAAGTCTTATAGTGGCGGGTGCTTATTGGCCACAACGCTTTGGAAAGCGTATCGTATAATTTGTGTATGTTGCATGTTTGTGTCGGACTGGTGCTTCCAGCAGGAACAACTAATTAAATGTTGTTCTTCTGCGTCCCATCCTTGTCCTCTCGGTGTGACTGACCGAAGCGGATACGGAAAGAGTGGGGACGCAAGCCAGCAGCAGTCTCTCGCAGTTTCGAAGATGACCCGTTGTTGGTATCGCCGCGGACGTTAAGGCAACGGGCCCCCTGCCCAACCCTGGTCGTTGTCGGTTTTGAACATCGTTTGCCGCCGGGCATCGCACCGTTCTTCGTTCGAGAATGAGCTCGATGCTCTCAAAGCCTATTTCGTGGGCTTAGACACCGCCGCACATTCATTCGCGTATTCGTGCGTCCCGCAATTAGCAGAAGTTCGTAATCCACATGATTTATTCAGCGCGCGTGGAAGTTTACAACATGTGTTCAGTTCCCGGAATCAACGGAGTGGTTCACAGAAGTGTAGACATGCGTTCCCGAATTCTCGGGATTTACGTGCGCGCGTACAGTTTCGTATGTTTTTTTGTCCGTTTGATGGCCTCGCCTTTTTTAGGGCGCTTTAGGAGCAAAGTGGCAGACATCTGCTGGACCCTACGTACGTGCGAAAGTTTACTTGTTCGCTTTCTTCGCCTGACGTCCTCTTGCTCTTCTTGGCGCTGCAGGTGCAAAATCCATGACATTTGATGAATTGATTCGAGCGCGAATGTAAGTGCTTTCTTTGCGCGCTGGACGGCCTCGCGCTCTTCTTTGTCCGCCTGGCGGCCTGGTGCTGATCGTCTCGTCGATGCAGCCAGCTTCGCAACATTTGCGCAATCTCCGCGTGCACCCATTTGTTCATCCGTAAGGGCTTCGCCCCCTGCCGCTGGCCCCCTCCCCATCATAATGGGCTTTGTCAGAGCTGTAGTGGGATTCCTGGGCCCTGTCTTGAAGACATCAGGGGGGGTCATGCGAGGACGGCTGGCGGTCAGCAGCGCAGGTTGAGATGCTGAGGGGGATCGCAGCCTCGGGGGCGCTGGTGTGGCGCAATTTGCAGGGGATCGTGGCCTCGGGGGCGCGACTTTAGCGAAAACTTGCGAGGTCTGGGTAGTCGAAGGCCAGACTATCAGATTGGATTGGGCCCCAAGGGCCAATCTGGCCTGGCCAAACTGGACGATTTGGGTTATTCGCCAGACTGGATTCGCGTTGGCTCCCTCGCCAGATTGCCCCCGTTTGCCAGATTGGGCCTGCCAGATTGGCGCCAGATTGGCTTCGACTACCCAGGAGGTGTCGTGGCCTCGGGGGCGCGAACGTGCTGTAATGTGCTATGGGTCGGGGCCTCGGGGCCATGCGCGCGGTGCGATTTACGAGGGACAGTGGCCTCGGGAACGCGATCGCGGCGTCATTCACAAGAGGTCGTGGCCTCGGGGGCTCGGCGTCGTGCACATGGGATCGTGGACTCGGAGGCGCGAATGTTGTTTGCTTTG